GGAGGTTTGACATGTCAAATTTTGTAAATAAATTGTAATAAGGCCATGGGCCATTGTAACATGTCTAAAATGTCATTTTACACTTGCGGGTATGTTCGCATCATCACACATTAGCATATAATGTAAATTGATCATGCCATGGGGGACTCAAATGAGTTTAAGAATTCTTTCATCATTTAGTGCATAGTAGGCCTGATTTTTAGTTTTTTGACCTGTTTCGGTCGACCGGTTCATTGTTCAAATTGATTTGAATAGTATTTTGTCAATTCCAGTAGCCAATTTCATCTCAAGCCACAATCCGGTTGACCAGTTTGTCATTTCGGTCGACCGAAATGAGGGCTCATTTGTTTTTTTTTTTTTTTTTTCCTAGTTCACTTCGGCTGACCGAAGCTCCATTTCGGCCAACCGAAGTGTTGCTGCTTTGTAGGTTTTGTTTGGTTGTTGTTTCTTCAGGCTTTTATCGTTTTGTTTGTTCCTACTCAACTTCGTTGACCTTGTTTAAGCCATCTAATGGCGTACGTGGTCTAGTTTGAACTAGATCTTGTTCCCTTGGGTGTCATTGGTGCCATAGGATACCAATTAACTAAGGGATGAGTAAAGAAAAGCTCATAAAGGTCCTTTAGCACTTCAACTCCAAATTTATAGCTTAACTTAACAATTTATTTATTTATTTATTTTTATGATTTTAGCATTTTTCCTTTGCTTGCTTAGCTTCTTTGCTTGGAATATCCTTTGCTTACTTCCTAGCTCAATACTCTTAGTCAAATAAGAACAAACACAATAAGTAACAAAATTAAAAACAAAGTAAAGACACGATCAAAAGAGTACTAATTCCTAATTGATTCCACAAATACGACATTGCCAATCAATCAATCCTCGGCAACGGCGCCAAAAACTTGGTGGATGTCGCACTTTGAACCCAAAGTTTATGCAATGTGGCTAAGTTTTACATTTAGAAATTGTCACTACTACCTTTAACTAAAAATATAGTTAGGGTGAGTAGGGATTGTCTCAAGGGATTGAGGGTCGCACTAGGTTGAGGAATCAAAATTAGGGTTAATAGGTCGAGTGATCAAAATAGTGGTTGGTTTGTTGAATTAAACTAGATGCAAATTAAACTAAGTAAACAATAATGCAATAGAGAGAATAAAAGAGAGAGAGATCTTGGGGTTTAAAGATCACCACTAAGCATAGCTTTTCTATATCTTTAATGAATGATTAATGAGGGAAAAAACATGTATTGCAACAAAGTGTGTGTGTGTGGTTGTTCTAACAAGCATGGATGCCAAATTAAGCATATATTGTCTAAACAATATGGTGGATAACACAACATATCAAATTAACCCATTAATCCTTTCTTTAAGCTCACAATTAAAACACATCACAAGGTTAGAGATATATGTTACTTGCTTTTCATAAGTATGGAACATCAACAACAAGCATAGATTGTTCTCCCATTTAACAACTACACTACAACTAAGCTAATGGCATGAAATTAAGCTAATTAAACTAAGGGAGAGGTATAATCAATCAAGACATGAGTATGAACCATCAAATAAACCACAAGAACATGACATTAAGCAATATGTCTTGACAATCTTTAGATCTATAGCATCAACACACATAGACATGTATCAATAACACAAGAAATAGAGACAAATACATGAACATCTATTCTAGTATACATAGACATATGGATAGAATGAAATGATCAATTGGAAGCATTAAACCACATAAATCATTGAAGAAACAAGATCTATATATATAAAAGTATCAAGACATGAATCACAATACAAATCACCTCAAAAATACATAAATCAAGAAGTAGAAAGCATGCTTAGGGCTAACTCTAGCCCCAAGAGGATGTCTAACCACTCATGGATGATGTCTTCCAACCCTCAAGGGCAAGCTCCATGGAAGAAATCTGCTCCTTGGTTGATGAAAAGTCTCCAATAGTGTCTCTAGCCTCCTCCTCTTCTTTTCTTCCTCCCTAAGTATGTGTATCAAAGTATATCAAAGGCTCTCTTAAAAAGTGGCTTATATTCCTTATATAGGTAGGTTAAAAATCACCCCAAATGAGCTGGGCTCGTACACCAATAATCCTCTAATCATGGTCACTACATATATCAAGCCAAAAACATAATCAAATAAGTGGAACAATTAAATAGAATTTTATTAAAATAAAATAATTAAATCTCTAGATTCTAAAACAACTCCAAATGATTCCAAATTAATATATGCTAGAGAACAAGTCAATGTTATTACATATATCAAGTTAAATACCTAATTAAATCAATGGAATCATTAAATAGATTTTAATTAATTCATTTAATTAAAATATCTAGATTTCAAAACTCATCTAAATATTCTCAAATTAATATGTGACAAAGAACAAGTCAAAGCCTAATTTAATATCATGTCTTAAGTTAATTCCACACTAGATACAACTATGTGAATTAAATTTCATACAAAGAAAATAATTAAATTAAATTTTGGATTATATACAAGGATATGCATACAAGTTATATAAGCCTAAAAAATAATTAAGACACCAAGATTGTAAACCTATAACATCCCCTACCTCACAAGAGGATTGTTCCTCTTGAATCCAAAGGAAGCTAAGGAATTCCAAGGAATCCTTCAAGGGTTTTGTAGAGGAAGGAGATGTAAAAATTTTGTATTCCAAGCTTTTAGGTCAAAGGTGAGTGGAAGGAGATCAAAACTAAGGTTTTAAGCCTAGATTAAGGTTTCCTTCAATGGTAGCTAAGGGGTTTTATGAGGAAGAAGCTCTAGTTAGTGAAAAAAGATGTATTCCTCCACTAACTAAAGCTTGTTGGCCTAACACACACACACACACACATACACTACCTCTCACACACACACTAATTGTAAGACAAATTTTGGAGCTTACACTTGTCACTAATCCAAGCATCCATTCTAGGCTTAATCTTAAGCCTGCACTTGTCAACCATCCAAGCCAACAAGTGTACCTGTCCTAGGTCAACAAGTGAGTGAATCCTCACCCTCTACATGTCATCCTCCAAGGCTCCCAATAAGATGCCAACAAGTGGACCAATGAGAGTATGACATTTGCCACACTTTCTGGAAATTGCAAAAAGGTCTTTTTTCAAAATATCTTCCAAATTAAATTGCAAAATGGTCCATAAGACGAAAAATAATTACTTTATTTAATTACACTAAAACCCCAAAAATCAATAATGTTTCCGAAGAAACAATGCATTCATGCCCTTTTACGAAAAAGTAAGCAACTAGCATGCTATTCTGCAAAAGTAAAAATACACATATCATGCAAATTAAATATAATGGATGCATGAAAAGCCGGAGCCAAATCCGAACACAAAAAGTGAGGTTATGCGAAGAAAACCAAAACCGGGAAAAAGATGAAAAATGAAATATGTCAAAAAAAGAAAAGAAAGTGTGCAAATAACGTAGTCCTCACAAGGACGTTGTCAATCCAAAAGAAAGAGTCTCGAAAACTAATCCCGAATACTTAAAACAGCACAAAGTGATAAAAGCCCGAACTCGGAAAGGAAAAATCAACGGAAAAAGAAAATCCGTAAAATGTGAGAAAATGGAAAGGAAGGAAAATGACCGGGTCATTACAGCACTTTAGTAAAATGTTTACTAAACTATTTTTCTATTATTTATTTAGAAAAATATTTACTTTGAAAAATTCTTTTTAAAAAGAATTTAATTTAATGATCGCAAGGATTAAATTGGTTACTTAAGGATTCTAAGATATAAGTAAGTCTTAGGTGGGATAGTATATATTTTCCTAGGGCTAGTTATGGATATTTGGTAGTGGAGAGTTCTATATGTAATTATTTAGTAGGATATGGCCATATTATAATTTTTAAATCTTAGAGTGCAATTACAATAATATAGTGGTAATTATTGTAATTAATTGGATAGGGTAGAATTATAAGATAACTCAACCTCTGTCCAATTGGAGCTAACATAAGTATTCCCTTTTATCCTCATCTTTAGCCCTATCAGTTAGATGGTGCATATATTGTTGTTGCCCTCAGGTCTCTATGATGAAATAACATACGTACAAAGTCTTATGAAAATAAAGAGAGTGAGGTTAATAGACAGACGGTTCCCACAAGCCAGAGCATCTATTTTGGGGTCACAGAGGTAAAGTATCACTGGTGTTCAGGCTAAAGGAGGAGTGCGTGCGTTTCATTGTTGTTCTCGGAGTGTTCTATGAGATTCTTTTCAATACTTCTTGATTTGATGAAAAATCACGTGGTTACGATTTGAATTTTTTTAAATCGCTTTTGTTTTGTCTTCATAAGGCACCTAACACATTCCCCATGCAAAATTAGACATCTGAATCCATCTATCTAGTTCGTTAGACCATATAGATGTCATCTCATTGGGCTATTAAATATAACTTACATGTGCATATTTTAGGTGACCTAGCACACCAAAACTTGATGGTAGGTGACGACTCCATTCTTCATGCCTTATTTACATTTTTGTCGCATTAAAAGTTTTATTTTCCCAAAGGCATCTTCATTTACATTATTTGTACAAACGATCTTCATATGAGGTTGTTGTAGGAAAAATTAGGGCACGATAATAGTGTTATCGTGTTGTAAATAGAAAGTAATAGTTGGTAGGTTGTTGGACTGAGCCATCAAAGAAAAACAGAGAAACATGGGGGAGTGAAAGAGAGACATGTATGGAGATATAAATTTGATATAAAGAGAGAAGGAAAAATATGAGAGTGAAGAAGTGAGAGAAGGGAAAATACGAGAGTGAAGTTAGAGGAAGTTTGATTTAGGTTTGTCAAATGCAGAGAATCAGTTTGGTAGTTTGATTTAAAGAAATATTTTAAAATGTGGAGGGCATCTGTGCAATTGTCTCAAAAGGAGCTGAGAGCACTATGGACCAAAAGAGTATTTTACGGTATTTGTAATTACTTTTTTGCCCTCCCAAAAAATTAATACTTGTATTTAGTGGCTTTTTACCCTTTCTATGTCGTATTTTTAATTAGGCTCTAAAACTAATAAATATTAAATTTTCCGAAGAGAAAAAAACAAAGAAAAAAACAAAAGGGGGGCACAATGGGTCACGTGACACACGTGCTTTAAGGCTTGAAGGAAATGAGGGTTTTAGGTTCTCTCGTCATTCCCTTAAACCCTTCTTTCACCCTCATTTCCCATTCTCTCTGCAACCGTACAGTTCCATTCATGAATTGACACATTCCTTCTTCGATTCTAACCCCCAATCCCTAAATTCTTAATGTAACCCTAACCTTAACCCTAATCTAGTCCAATCCACCATGAAACCTCTCTGTGCAAGAGCCATCTTCATCTTCTCTTCACGCTCTCTCCTCATCAATTCAACTAACAATGTTGAAATTCTCCAACACGGCCTAAGAATCTCCCATTTCTCAACTTCCTTAAACCCATTTCACTCTTCATCATCTTCCTCCTACCCTTGGCGACGCCAGGAAGAAGAGAGCCGAAATGTGAGGGTTTCGGTGTGGTGGGACTTCGAGAACTGCACAGTACCAGCTGGTGTGAACGTATTCAAAGTCGCCCAAAGCATTACTGCTGCAATTAGGGCAAATGGGATGAAGGGACCGGTTCAAATCATGGCATTTGGCGATGTGGTGCAGCTTTCGAGGTTGAACCAGGAGGCCTTGTCATCCACGGGCATCAATCTCAATCATATTCCTCGTGGTTTGTTTTCAATTTTGATACTTGAATTGTTGACCTTAATTTGTTGTTGAAATTTAGATTGCTGATTGGCTGTAATATATACACACATCTATAAAATGATGCCCTTTCATTATGTTATGAGAGCACATGCTTCCTGAGTTAGTTGTGTCCTCCAAAAATATTTGTTGTCTCCTTTATCCTTGTTATGATGCAAGTGTTGTTGGGCATTACCACTTGTTGTATGCACTTGCATAGAGTGCTGATCATAGACAGTAGATAATCATACAAGAAACACAAGATTTAACATGGTATGTTTTTACTACCCAATAGTTAGTGTTATTTTGACAATAAAATTTGAGGATTTCTTTTTCAAGCGATTTTAGTGTGACATGTTGAAACATGATACCACGTTCAAATCGTTGAATTTAGTGTGATATGATATGGTTGACATGGTACACCATTATTTTGTTCGGATTCTCTTGTTTTTAGAATGTGGGTAATTTGGCTTCTGAAGTTGCACCTTGTAAGAATATGTTGTTGTGGTGGAGCTATTGATACATGTTGAGTTTTTGGTGTAATGTGTTAAAAGAGTAGGACAAACTCTTGCCTTTTTTGCCCCCTTATTCTGTTTCAAACTTTCAATTGTAGCATCTAAAAGACTTGATAATGTTTGGTTTGTTTCTTTTCCCTCTGTTTTTTCTTTTTCTTTTTTTCTTTTTTGATAAATAATAAGAATTGTCCCTTAACTCCACCCTTACCAAGAAAACATGATGGTTAGTTATACCTCTGGGCTACAATAGGCTTTGGCATTCTCTGCATGCTTTGAAACATCTTGTTCTCTAACCTTTGTAGTTTTTTTTTTTTTTTTCCTAAATGACCTTTGTAGTTATGGTAAGGGGAGTTGCCAAACCATCTGACATGGGTGATTACGAGGGAATTTTTTTTACCTGTTACTCTTTAGTTTTCTTGGCTTTCTCATCTGCCTTGACCAATATCGCTATTAATGTCTTCACCATCTCTTTCAACCATTTCATAATTCCAGTATTCTTGTAACTTAAATTTTGAAGTGGTTGTATCCCCAATATGACATTCTTGTCTCAAATTATCTAGTCAAGTCTATTATACAGTTTTAAACTTCACCTCCTCATCCAAGTAATAGACGTGAGTTCTCTTCGACCTCTCTTTACCCTCTCCACAATCAGGTAGGTCTATTAGACTCCTGGGTTTTTAGGCAATTTATTTGGAATCTTGGTTGCTACCTCTCAATGAACAATTGACACTTTGCTCCATGATGTTGTTATTATCAGTTTTTGCCATTGCTAGGAAAACAAGTAACAAAACGGGTATTTAAGGAAGAACGATTTGTCTTACATTAAGAGTGTTACCATAAAAAGGGGAAGATGGTAGTACGGAAAGGTATGGTAACATGTGGTCGAAGTAAAATTATGACATTAGACATAGCAGAATAGTAAAACACAATCATATAAGCAATCCCAAATAGTTGAATGAAGCTTTGTTGAGTTGTATCATCATCATCATCATCATCATTGTGTCATCATCAATTTGCCTCTCTTTTGTTTATTTTCCACTATGTAAGTGTGAATATATGTATTATACAGTTTGACATTCTAAATAATTGCTGATATCCTATTGTGCAATGGTATAACATTCTAAACTGATTGTTCATCCTAAATAATATTTGTGCCTTATGTGCTGACACAGTAAGTGTTGTGTAAAAATGAAACCGGTCATGTTATGCGAGCAGGAGTCGTTGGGTATACTATAGTTTCACTATTTGGATTCATTCTTGTTTGTTGTATGGATTCTAACTCTTTCACTATGCAAATTATTCTCAATTCAGGTGGAAAAAACAGTGCTGATAGATCTCTTCTTCTTGACCTTATGTATTGGGTTTCTCAAAATTCTCCACCAGCACATCTTTTCATCATTTCTGGTGACAGGGATTTTGCTACCATTTTACACCGGTTAAGAATGAACAATTACAATATCTTACTTGCTAGTCCAGAAACTGCTCCTGGTGTCCTCTGTAGTGCTGCAAGTATTATGTGGGGCTGGAATGACTTGGTTAAGGGGGAAAACCTTACTGGTAAGCATTTTAATCAACCCCCAGATGGTCCTTATAATTCTTGGTATGGCCATTATAAGATGCCTCTTGAAGACCCGTTTGCTGTTCCTAAGCAGCCAGCTTTTCCACGGGCTGAGGAGCTGTCAGAGTCTGGTTCAGATACTAAACTTCGTACAGTTCCAAAAGCAATTGTGAAAAAGATTTGTCATATATTAAATTCATACCCCAAAGGGATCGCCATTACAGATCTTCGTTTAGAGTTGTCAAAGGGTAATGCGACTATAGATAAAGACTTGTATGGTTATAAAAAGTTCTCCCGCTTTCTTCTATCAATGCCACACATTTTAAAAATTCAATCTGGGGGTGAAGGCCAATTTTCCGTTTATGGCATTGTCCCAAGAGTTCCCGAACCAGTTGCCTCCCCTCCAGTCAATGCTACAAGGGCTGTTACTAATAAAGGAGAGTTAGGTTTCACAATAACTCCTAAATTAAATGGTCAAAACAGCTCTACTGTTAAAGCTGTATCTGAGAAGTCATCACCGGTTCCATACTCTCAAGTCAATGTCAAGGAGCCTCCAACAAAATTGCATGAGCCTCCAACAAAAGTGCAAGAGCCAAAAACAAAAATGCAAAAGCCACAAACAACAGTGCAAGACCCGCAAATAAAAGTGCAAGAGCCACCTCCACTCATCGAGAGGCAAAATAATGCTGAGATAACTGAGAGGTATTTGCATTCTGAGGAGGAATATCATTCTATATCCGAATTAGAATTCTTCAAAACGATATGGAGGAAATGGTTTGGTTCTGAGAAGAAAAGTTGTAGCATACAAGAGAGGAGTTCTTCTGGTGGGAGCACGGAGAGTACAAGAGCTGAAGAAATACATGTGAAGTCAACAAGTCAGAAGAGTGCTGATCCTGTCGCTGTACTTTCTTTTTCTTCATCTAATAATGAAGCAGAGATGAAAGAAAAGACTGATGAAAGCTCTGAGTCCTACGATTATAAATCCAGAGGTGATCCTGGTTTTTTTAACCAAATGATGAGCTGGTCTAAGTTTTGGAGGAGGAGCCCTAACTCCAGTAGTTCAAGTGAACAATCTTGTGAAAAACTGATAAGTTGTGATCAAGGAGCCCTAACTCAAAAAGATCAAAACTAATGATATATGAAAGAATCATATATCATGATCTTGGAAAGCAAGAAATCTCTTGAAGAAATCTTTCTGGAATGACACGAAAGCATTTATGGATACACCCAAGGACTAGGTACATGCTTCTACCTGCTTTTCCATATCTATTTTCAGCTTCTGGCTTCCATTGATATATAATTTCCAATCAAGCTTTTGGCATTTTATTTTATTTTTTATTTTTTTATCATTGATGCAGAATTTTTGGAACTATTTCTTCCACAATAAAAGTTCTAAGAATGAATTTCAACTTTGTAGATGTGACTTATTATTTTCTTTTTGCTGACAATATGTACTGGATATGGCATCAATGGGCAAAGGCCGTAGAGGAAAATTTTATTGCTCAAACAATAATCAATTATTTGTACAAATCCTTCCAGGGGTTAATTCTATGTTAGAACTGTAAAATACTAGAAATATCGAAGTCTTGAACCTTAATTTGTTTTCTTGTTTCTCATCTGGAAATCACTGATTTCATTAGACTCATCCCTCTGAGCAGCATGCACATTTGATGATGAAGCACTTGACATCACAGGATACTGCATATATGGCGGCATAATTGGCTGCATGGGCGGACCAAGGTAGCACATTGATGGCGCCCTTGGGTGGTTCATAATCATATTCTGATCTAACATCCCCAAAAAGGCTGGATCATAGTAAACCGGCCTGTTCAGTGGCACATACTGTGCATTACTTCTGCTAGACGTGCCATCTGTATCGTTCATCATCATCATCATCGAATTCGGATTGAATGGAATCCGGTGATGAGATTGATCGAACGGATTATAAGGAATGGGCACGTTGACATGATCAAGTGGGATGATTGAAGAAACACAAACAAGCTGCTTTTGAAGAATTCCCTGTTGCATGCTTGAGCTTTTCCTTGACAAGCCCTGCATGAAACAAGAAGGCAGGTTTTGAGTTGATTGTGTGCACAAGCTGTCCGTTATACCCGATGCTGATGCTGCCATTCTTTTGTCACACTTAATGAATTCAATCCTTTTCTTCACAACTCGAAGCTTGTTCACCAAAAACATCATGTAGTTCCTTCAATTGTAGCATTGAGAGTTCGTTGTATCGATCATCCCAAGTAGTGTACTTAGCCTCCTCATTCTTCTTGATCAGTTTCGCGAGCGCGTATTGAACTCTCTTCTTCCGATCCTCAAAGAAGTTAGACAAATAAATGGTCCTCTTCCTAAGTTCTTTGGATTGGCTTTTGTATGAGTCGATCAACCTCTTGATCTCACTGACATCAGTAGGCCAGATCTCCGGCTCAATCGGACGGTCATCCAGTTTGGGACCATAAATGATCATGCATTCTTTCACATCACATCACAAAGAGTTGGTTCATAAATTTTCTTCTTCAAGCACTTCTCTCTTTTCTGGAAGGTTATGTTACTAGCCCTTTCATTACTAATGAGTTTCATGTCTAGTTTTCTCGACCCATCTGGATATTGTTTAGTAACATTGACAAGTAATTGATCAAAACATTTTTCTGTCTAATGATGCAAATAAATAAATAAATGATCATGGAAAACATATATAAATTGAAAAATCCAAAAACCAAAAAGTTTGGTCATGATCATTAAGGGCAAGTTTGGTTTAGTTCTTGTAGAACAATTTTATGTTTTTGGAGAAATGCAAGTAAAAATTCAGTACACAATTTTTTTTTTTTTTTTTTATAGTTAAAACAGTTTTATATATAAAAAAATCAGTTAAAATAATGTCTACTTTTATAGAACAGTCTATCATAGTTCTTCATAACTATTTTAATATATGTTTTTTTCTATTAATCCATGAAGAAATTAACTAGAGTCTAGACAGACATGAATTTTGAACGTTTCTTGCCTTGGTATGCTATAAAGTTCCTTATCAATACATATATACATGTATATATTACTTCAACAATTATAATGAAGGCAAAAGACAATAGATTAATTAGCGGATTAAATTAAAGTCGCAATTCTCTACTAACAAACAAAAAAAGTACAATAATAATTGAAGAAATTAACTAGACAAAAAAAGTTCAATAATGGAAGAAATTAACTAGACGTACCTTATAGCTTTAATGGCTTCTTATACAAAACTTTCTAATACCAATTTAAAGTATTCCCATTGCCTTTAAAGGGAGAAATTTACTTGGATGTTTATAGCTTACTACCAAAAATACATGATCCGATTTCATCATACTAAAGTTTTGGAAACTAACCAAAAAAACAAATAAAAAATAAAAAATAAAAAAATGTTTGAAGTTTTGGAAACTAAATAAAAATCTGCTTGGCACTTTTATAGAGCTCAGGGCTCTCAAACTCCTTGAACTGGTCTGGTTTGCAATGGATGCAGGCCTAGACTTTCTGTGTTGGCAGTCCTGGTAATGCAGAGGGCTAACAAGTCTCTTTACAATCTTCAAAGAAGGGGGACTGCTTTACGTCATAACTGCTATCGGGATGAGGATTCAAGTGATCATATTTTCTAGAGAAGTGCTAAGCTACTCGTCTTCCATTTTTTTTTTGTTTAGAGGCTAATTACTCTTTCAATAATATTTTCTTTCCAAAAGTATGAAGATTCATATTCTTACTCTACCATAGTCATTACACATGTCAACATTGAAGCCTATCAAAGTAGTTCTCCAATACAATGCATCAGACAATTGTCCATGAATAATTTTGTTTAAGAGACACAAATGTAATCATAAATTTTGGAGTTACAGTTTTAAACCACACATATGAATTATTTACATATCCTTGTCTTTATGATTAATTATACATAACTTTAATATATACAATTAGGTTCCAAAAGGAAATCTGAGTGAGAGTTTCTCTCTCTGGCGCCGAAAAGGAAAACTAATTATGCCACGTTTCGTTAGTGATAAAATCATGAAAATCACTTAGTGATATCTATCATTTTCCTATTTTCTACATGTGTGTTAGCTAGACAAGTTTGTTTTTATTATTTTTATTTTTTATTTTTGTTTGAAAGATACAAAATGGTCGTTGAATCAAAACAAGCCAGGGAACTGGCGAAACAAGCTCACAAATTTGAACAACCCAAATAAACCAGCCCAATATCCTAAGTTAACAACTAGTTTAGCAGTTAATTGAGGATATCAAGATAACAGTTCCGATGACCAGACCTAGCGAAGGACATGGATCCTCTCCTGAGGGCATCTCCCTTTTGCTCCCTCCAAAACTAATCGAAAACTAATCGAAGACTAATATTGTGACACGTTATTCATTAAGACACGTCATTTTCACCCTCTCCCTCCTCTCTTTTCTCTCTCTCTCTCAATTTTAGAGACAATACCAAATTTCTCTCTTCCCGTTTAAGTAACTTTCATACCCAAATTTCTCTCGCCGGAATCCGTCGCTGGGTTCTTTTTGTGCTTCTTCGTTGCCGGTTAAAGATGATAAAGTTATGAATGTAATTTACACACACATATATAGATAAAAGAAGAAAAACACATACAAATGATTAATTTGTTCAATTGATTTGTTTTATCAAGACAAAAACAAAGATCAAGAGTGGATACCTTTAACCAACATCTGAGAAACCATTTATTCCTTAGTTGCATATATATATATATATATATATATATATATATATATCTGCACATCCTTGCAATGTCAAGCTGTGTTTTCTCCTCTCTAGATTTTCTCCCTAATTTTTTTTATTTATTTGATTTGGAAATGAAAAAGAAAAATAACAATGAATGGAGTCGGCAATGATGTTTCCAACAAGATCAGTTGACTTTCGGGGAGGAAGGTTGACATCAATGTTGATGAAATTAACTGACGGAGGAGGAATCGCGAAGGTTGAGGTCAAGTGATGGAGGCAGAAGCGGAACTGTAGAACTATCAGAAGAATCGTAATTTCACTCCACTCATCTCCTTGCTTTTACCGCCATTAACGGCATTCGGTGATGCTTTTTCTTTGGGTCCCATATTTTTTGCTTGGTGTTCTCTCTGAGATTTAGAGAGAGGGAGAGGAAAGAGAGAAAGAAGCAGAGGGGGCAAATGATGTATCTTTATGAATGATGTGTCTTAATATTAATTCTCAGATTAGTTTTGGAGAGAGCAGGTTAGAGATGCTCTCAGGACAGGATCCGTGTCCCTTAGCAAAGTAGGTAACGATCATGTGAATATGATGATCATCATCAGTCCGGTGGATTGGGAGGAGGACGACAACAAGAAGGCGGTAAGTTCCAGTCGGAGAGAATGCTTCTTGAAGCCAAACAATCTCTGAGGCGCCCCAATTTGAGGATTGAAGTCACTGTGGTGCATACTTTGGCAAGAACAGATCTTTGCATGGAATTAATCCCACGAAAGATGTGATTGTTTCACTCCTCCCATATGTGGTACACCATGGTTGAGAGGAAAATCTTCCTTAGCAAGTTAATCAGTGAGTTGGTCTTCTATCTGAAGCTAATCCAAGAAACCAAGACGTCCCAATTACGGATAGGAGTGTAGAATCTGCACCTGTGTCTGATAAATGTCCAAATTGGGGAACTATAAAGAGTCTTGAAGAAGTTTATGAAAATGGCTACACTTTCATTGATATGAGTTTACAATATTTATACCAAGGATTATAGATTATACAAGGAAATAATAAGCAATACACGGAAAGAATTAAGAACATAATTACATGAGTCAAAGTAATAAAGAGTTGCTATAATCATAGAGGAGCAGTCGGTGGGGAGAGATTGTAGGAGATATTATTGGAGGAATTATTATGTTGCCTAATATGCCCTCGGAAGATGGCGTTTCCATCGGAAATACCAATCTTGGCCCGGAGATCAACGAATCGTTGCTTGGAGAGCGGTTTGGTGAGAACATTAGCAAGTTGGTCGTGGATGGATACACGAGCAACCTGAAGAGTATCATTGGCGGCTTTGTCATGAACAAAATGGTAATTGATCGTGTTATGCTTCATACGCAAATGGAAAACAGGATTGGGACATAGGTATGTCGCACCGAGGTTGTCACACAGGAGTCGAGGCTTGGTAGGAAGAGAGACTCTAAGTTAATGTGATGGCCCTGGTTTTGCAACCCGGTGCGTTAGTGATGACCCAAAAGGTGACCCGATAACGGATCCCAAATGCGGAAGCGAATTAAAGAAACAATGTCTCTAGGGATGCGCATTATCCCTAAGACCCAAAAGTGGCTTCCTGTGAAGCTGTGGAATTTAAAAGAAAACAAAAGCGGAAACGAAGTTTTGAAAACAGTTAAGTTTAATCCTAGGGTCAAAATGGTC